AAGCCTAAAACCCTAAAACCCTAAAACCCTAAAACCCTAAAACCCTAAAACCCTAAAATCCTAAAACCCTAAATCCCTAAGCCCTGAACCCCTGAACTTCAACGCGATGTCCATGCAGAAGTACTGGGTGAACGGCCCTCTGAAGGCAAGGCACTTCAAGGTTTGGGGTTTGGGGTTTGGGGTTTGGGGTTTAGGGTTTAGGGTCTAGGTTTAATGGTTGCTCCTCCGCAGAAGATTGAACCCAACAAGGTTCGCTTCAACGGCGCCGGTGGTGGCTACACCTGGGCTAACCTCACCCTTAATCAGAGTGACATCGCTGACGGCATGACTTCGTACCTCGTCCCCTAGGGTGGTGTGAAGCCCAGCGTGATTCAGAATCACCTGAAGCAAGACGACGAACCGCGAACTCCAAACCCAAAGCCCAACACCCTAAACCCCCGATCCCCTAAACCCGAAGCCCCAAAACCCCTCAGCCCCAAAACCCAAAGCCCTAAACCCAAACCCCACAGCCCCAAAACCTAAACCCTAATTATCCGAATTCAGCCCTCAACCCAAAACCTTAAATCCTAAACCCCGAATTAAGCCCTTAAGCCCCAAAACCCCAAACCCAAAACCGTAAACCCTAAACCCTAAACCCAAAGCCCTATATAGTGAAGCCCTAAACCCTAAACCCTAAACCCTAAACCCTAAACCCTAAACCCTAAACCCTAAACCCTAAACCCTAAACCCTAAACCCTAAACCCTAAACCCTAAACCCTAAACCCTAAACCCTAAACCCCAAACCCTAAACCCTAAGCCCTAAGCCCTAAGCCCTAAACCCTAAGCCCAAAAGCCCACAGCCCTGGCAGGATCAGGCCGACATCAACACGAACGGCGACGGCTTGGGGCGCCGCTTCGTCAGTGTGCAGGCGCCGGTTCCTTTGGGGGGTTTTAAAACCCTTTTTGGGGCTGGGGTTTAGGGTTTAGGGTTTCGGGTTTCGGGTTTCGGGTTTAATTAGGGTTTAGGGTTTAGGGTTTAGGGTCTAGGGTTTAGGGTTTAGGGTTTAGGGTTGATAAGGGTTTAGGGTTTAGGGTTTAGGCCCCAAGACAGGCCCCAAACAAGACCCCCCAAAAAACCCGAGAAATCCTCAAGAAACCCGAGGTTGCTTTAGAGAACCTAGAAGCCCCGAGGTTGCTTTAGAGAACCTGCCCGCCTGCTGAAGGAATGGCTTCGGCCTTGCTGTGAATCATCCAAGAAAAGACCTAAACGCCATAAGAAGCCCAAAAACCCCAAAAGCCCCGACAGCCCTAGAAACAAAAAAAGCCCCAAGCCCATCAGAAACCCTTAACAACCAAAGGAACGCTAAAACTTAAACCTTAAAGCCTCAACGCCGCGCGAGCAAACATTCGCTCTTAGCTTCCTTCGGCATGCCAAACTCGCGCCGGCAGAGTTAAGGGGGCCGGTAGGGCTGAGGGCTTAGCGCAGAAAGGGCTCAGGCTTTAGGGTTTCAGGTTTCAGGTTTAGGGTTTAGGGTTTAGGGTTTAGGGTTTAGGGTTTAGGATGTATATAGGGTTTAGGGCAACCCCAACCCTTTGGGTTTAGAACCCAACAGACAGGCTGTGATGGGCTGCAGCACATCTGGGCAGGCAGGGTTGGGACTCTGTGCCCCAAAACCCTAAAACCCGAAGCCCCAAACCCCTAAAAAAACTAAGCCCTAAACCCTAACCTCAAACCCTAAAAACCCTAAAAACCCTAAAACCCTAAAACCCTCAAAACCCTTAAACCCTAAAACCCTAAAACCCTAAACCCTAAACCCTAAAACCCTCAAAACCTCAAAACCTCAAAACCTCAAAACCCTCAAAACCCTCAAACCCTAAAACCCTAAAACCCTAAACCCTAAACCCCAAACCCCAAAACCCTAAACCCAAAACCCCAAACCCTAAAACACCAAACCCTAAAACCCTAAACCCTAAAACCCTAAAACCTCAAACCCTCAAACCCTAAAACCCTGAAACCCTAAACCCTAAACCCCAAACCCTAAAACCCTAAACCCGGAACCCCCAAACCTGGCGTGCGGCTGGGAGCTCACAGGATGAGTCGTTGTCGGGCAGCGACCACGGCTTGGTAGACAGGGCTTTCAGGTTACGCCAATGAGACCAATGTTTAGGGTTTAGGGTTTAGGGTTTAGGGTTTAGGGTTTAGGGTTTAGGGTTTGGGGCCCTGCACCCTAAACCCTGACAACCCGAACTCCCTATGACCCTAACTCTCTACAGCTCGAAACGCCCTGAGTCTCAAACCTGAACCCTAAACCCTCAACCCTAAACCTAAACCCTAAACCCTAAACCCTAAACCCTAAACCCTAAACCCTAAACCCTAAACCCTAAACCCTAAAGTCTGAACCCTAAACCCTAAACCCTAAACCCTAAACCCTAAACCCTAAACCCTAAACCCTAAACCCTAAACCCTAAACCCTAAACCCTAAACCCTAAACCCTAACTCCGAAACCCGAAACCCGAAACCCGAAACCCGAAACCCGAAACCCTAAACCCTAAACCCTAAACCCTAAACCCTAAACCCTAAACCTAAGCCTTAAACCCTAAACCCTAAACCCTAGACCTTCCCACAGGGCTGCGATGGCGGCTGGATGTCGAATGCCTTCAACGAGTGGGAGACTAGCGGAAGGGATATGGCTTGGAGTTTAGGGTTTAGGGTTCAGGGTTTAGGGTTTAGGGTTAGCGTTTAGGGTTTGGGGTTTGGGGTTTAGGGTTTCAGTTTTTTTGGAATCTGGGTGTTGGGTTGAGGGTTCTGGGCTTGGGGGTTTGAAATTTAGTTTTTTAGGGTTTTGAGACTTTAGAGGCTTTTTGGCTTAGGTGCCGGGGGACTTAGACACGCCTCAACGCAGAATCTTCCTTAAGCCACGGTAAGCCGCTTGAAGCCCTAAACCTGCAAACTCGCCAGTTGAGGGCTTGTGGGTTTTGGGTTGGGGTTTAGGGTTTATGGCTTAGGGTTGATGGCTGAGGGTTTAGGGTTTGGGGTTTAGGGTTTGGGGGTTTAGGGTTTGGGGTTTAGGGTTTAGGGTTTAGGGTTTCGGGTTTAGGGTTTAGGGTTTAGGGTTTGGGGGTTATGGTTTAGGGGTGTAGGGTGTGGGAGCCTGAAGCCTTCAACCCCACACAGAGACCTCAACTGAACGAGATCTCAAGGAGATCGGCGGCGCGCCGCTGGCGCGGGACTACACCTACCACCCCACAGGCCTCAACCCCAAACCCCTAAACCCCTAAACCCCTAAACCCCTAAACCCCTAAACCCCTAAACCCCTAAACCCCTAAACCCCTAAACCCCTAAACCCCTAAACCCCTAAACCCCTAAACCCCTAAACCCCTAAACCCCTAAACCCCTAAACCCCTACACCCCTAAACCCCTATCCCCCTAAACCCCTAGACCCCTCTCCCCCTAGACCCCTACACCCCTTAACCCCTAAACCCCTAAACCCCTAAACCCCTTAAACTCCCTAAACCCTAAACCCATTAACCCCTAAAACCCCTACACCCCTAAAGCCCTTAAACTCACTAAACCCCTTAAACTCCCTAAACCCAAAACCCCTAAACTCCTAAACCCCTAAACCCTAAACCCTACACCCTAAACCCTAAACCCTAAACCCTAAACCCTAAACCCTACACCCTACACCCTAAACCCAAAACCCTAAAGTCTGAACCCTAAACCCGAAACCCGAAACCGCTAAACCGCTAAACCGCTAAACCCTAAACCCCAAACCCCAAACCCCTAAACCTTAAACCCTAAACCCTACCCTAAACCCTAAACCCTAACCCCTGAACCCCTAAACCCCTAAACCCTACACCGCCAAACCCTAAACCCTAAACACTAAACCCCAAACCCCTAAACCCTAAACCCTAAACCCTAAACCCTAAACCCTAAACCCTAGCCCCTTAACCCCTAAACCCTAAACCCCTAAACCCCTAAACCCTAAACCGCAAAACCCCTAAAAACCCCAAACCCTGAACCCTGAACCCTAAACCCGGAACCCTAACCCCTAAACCCTAAACCCTAAACCCTAAACCCTAAACCCTAAACCCTAAACCCTAAACCCTAAACCCTAAACCCTAAACCCCAAGCAGGCGGAGGTCAGCCCTGGGACTCCCTGGGCAGGCATTGCCAGCTGCTCGGAACCGCATGATGCGGTTGTTGGGTTTAGGGTTTAGGGTTTAGGGTTTAGGGTTTAGGGTTTAGGGTTTAGGGTTTAGGATTTAGGGTTTAGGGTTTAGGGTTTAGGGTTTAGGGTTTAGGGTTTAGGGTTTAGGGTTTAGGGTTTAGGGTTTAGGGTTGGCCTCAATTGCCTGTTTAGGGTTTAGGGTTGAGGGCTAGGGTTTAGGGTTTGGGGTTCAGGGTTTAGCGTTTAGGGTTTAGGGTTTAGGGTGTAGGGTGTAGGGTTTAGGGTTTAGTGTTTAGGGCTTACTGTTTCCGGGTTTAGGGTTTTGAAAGGGGGGCCGGCCTCAGTTTAGGGTATGCCGAATAAGCCCAAAACCACCCCAAACCCTTCAACGCTTAGCCCTCAGCCCTCAGCCCTCAACCCTAAACTCAAGGAACGAAAGGAGGGACCTATGCAAAGGACCTTAGGGTTTAGGGCTTAGGGGACTCTTCGGGGGCTACTTAGGTATATAGGGACTCTATAAGGTAGATATGGGGGCTATATAGGGAGATAAAGGGCCCCTTCTAGGTGTCCCTCTTTTACCCCTCCCTAAACCCTAAACCCTAAACCCTAAACCCTAAACCCTAAACCCTAAACCCTAAACCCTAAACCCTAAACCCTAAACCCTAAACCCTAAACCCTAAACCCCTAAACCCCTAAACCCCTAAACCCCTAAACCCCTAAACCCTAAACCCTAAACCCTAAACCCTAAACCCTAAACCCTAAACCCTAAACCCTAGCCCTTTGAGGTGGGGTGCGGTGCCAAAGCCTTACCGTGTGACCAGCAGCTACTGGGTCGATCTGACCGTGGACAACATGAAGTCGGAGGTCTACTGAAGCTCGGTATGTTTAGAGTTGGAGGTTTAGGGTTTAGGGTTTAGGGTTTAGGGTTTAGGGTTTAGGGTTTAGGGTTTAGGGTTTAGGGTTTAGGGTTTAGGGTTTAGGGTTTAGGGTTTAGATTTTAAGGGTTTTGGGGTCTTAGTGTTTAGGATTGTGGGCCCTAAACCCCACCCTGAACTCCACCACCCCCCCCCCCTTCCCCCCCCCCCTCCCCCCCCCCCCCCTCCCCCCACCCCCCCACCCCCTCCCCCGCCCTCCCCCTAAGCCCTTAACCCCCAAGCTACGCCCTCTCTCTTGAGGCAATGGTCCCTTCACTGTGGCCTTTGAAGTGTACGACAACTTCTTCGGCTACTCCAGTGGAGCCTGCGACTCAGGAAAAGCCAAAAACCCCCCAGAAACACTCGAGCGAAACCCTGTTCGCTAAAGTCTCAACCTCTAGATAGACACCAAATCCTAGACTCCCCTTGGGGTTTAGGCGTTTCAGGATCCAGGGTTGCAGTGTTTAGGGTTAGGGGCTTCGTAGGCCAGGCCCTAAGCCCTGGACCCGAAACCCTAAACCTATACCGTGAAACCCTAAACGCTAGACCCGAAACCCTATACCCTATATCCTAAACCCTGAACCCCTGAAACCTGAAACCACCAGGTCTACAACGAGGTCTCTGGCAACGTCGCGGGGGGCCACGCCGTGACGTTGGTGGGCGCCGTGGCTTCAACGTCTTCCGGAAAGTAAGATGCTTGTAGGGTTTAGGGTTTAGGGTTTAGGGTTTAGGGTTTAGGGTTTAGGAAACTGCTGTAAAGGTGTCAGGCAGGGCCTCGTTGAAGATAGGCAGATTGTGCGTAGTACTGAGTTGCCCTGCCAAACCCCAAACCCCAAACCAAACCCCAAACCAAACCCCAAACCCCCAACCCTAAACCCTAAGTCCTAAGCCCTAAGCCCTAAACCCTAAACCCTAAACCCTAAACCCTAAACCCTAAACCCTAAACCCTAAACCCTAGGCTCTAAGCCCCAAAACCTAAAGCCTAAACTTGTTTTTTGGTATTCTTTCATTGGGAACCTCGCTTCGTGCCCAAGGGTTTAGGGTTTTTAAGGTTCAGACTCGGCCTGCCTAGGGTTTAGGGTTTAGGGTTTAGGGCTTAGGGTTTAGGGTTTAGGGTTTAGGGTTTAGGGTCTAGCCAGGACTTCTGAGGTTTAGGGCTTCAAGGGCTTAGGGCTTAGGGTTTTAGGGTTTAGGGTTTGGGGTTTAGGGGGTTTGGGGTTTAGGGTTTCGGGTTTAGGGCGTTTACTTCGGGACTTTAGGTCTTTAGGCTGTTGGGTCGGGGCCGCCAGCCGGGAGCTGGTGAGTTTCGTTTGGGGTTCAATTCATGCTGTCCGGAGGAGTTGCTGCCGGGTGCTCCAGGGTTTAGGGTTTAGGGTTTAGGGTTAGGGTTTAGGGTTTAGGGTTTAGGGTTTAGAGTTTAGGGTTTAGGGTTTAGGGTTTAGGGTTTAGGGTTTAGGGTTTAGGGTTTAGGGAAGCCCAGCCAAGATTGGGGAATCTCCCCTATACCCCTGTAAGCCTTAGACCCTACTTGAAGGTTCATGGCACTTAGCAACCCGATGATAGCTGTTCTTATGGCCCACTTATAAGCCCTTTAAGTGCACTAATAAGTGGGTTTTAAGTACAGTTACCCTACCCTAAGCCCTGAACCGCAGCTGCGGCGCTGGCGCGGAGGTCCCGCACCACGGCAGTCCCGCTGCAACAGCTATCAACAACGACTTGGCCATCTCTGCCGACGTATACGAGTGGTCGATGACCCCCCCACCCAACGTAGGGTTTAGGGTTGAGGGTTTAGGGTTTAGGGTTGAGGGTTGAGGGTTGAGGGTTTAGGGTTTAGGGTTTAGGGTTTAGGGCTTAGGGTTTAGGGTTTAGGGTTTAAAGCCGGCGGGCCGAGAAGTCCCAGACGCCTGTTGCCGGGCCGGCGTGCAGAGCTGGGCTGCGAGTGTGGAGATGTGAGACACTCTGTTGAGGGCAACCAGGCCTTTCAGGACAATCCTACTTGGGACCTAGTAGCCCTAAACCCTAAACCCCAAACCCCAAACCCCAAACCCCAAACCCTAAACCCTAAACCCTAAACCCTAAACCCTAAACCCTAAACCCTAAACCCTAAACCCTAAGCCTAAGCCCTGAACGACTCATCGCTTCGCGCAGGCTTTGGCACACTGAATTCAGAGGACTACTGGGAGTTGATGAACAGCACCTTGGTTGATTTAAGGGCACTTGACGTGAAGGTTCATAGGCTACGAAGGGGGCTTAGGGTCCTAAACCCTAAGCCCTAAACCCTAAACGCTAAATCCTTACAGTTCAGGGTTCAGGGGACAACTTGGAGTCTCATGCGAGTTCAAAGTCGGGTGCTGGGTGTAAGGAAGGTTATAGTCACTTCTGGCTACAGTTTCCCTAAACCTTAAACCCTAAACCCTAAACCCTAAACCCTAAACCCTAAACTAAACCCTAAACCCTAAACCCTAAACCCTAAACCCTAAACCCTAAACCCTAAACCCTAAACCCTAAACCCTAAACCCTAAACCCTAAACCCTAAACCCTAAACCCGAACCCCTAAACCCTAAACCCTAAACCCTAAACCCTAAACCCTAACCCGAAACCCTAAACCCTAAACCCTAAACCCTAAACCCTAAACCCTAAACCCTAAACCCTAAACCCTAAACCCTAAACCCTAAACCCTAAACCCTAAACCCTAAACCCTAAACCCTAAACCCTAAACCCTAAACCCCAAACCCTAAACCAAACCCTAAACCCTAAGCCCGAAGCCCTGAAGCCCTAAAGCCCCTAAGCCTGAAACCTTAAGGGCTTCGAAGGTTCGGTTCAGGGTTTAGGGTTTAGGGTTTAGGGTTTGGGGTTTGGGGTTTAGGGTTTAGGGTTTAGGGTTGGCCCATGTCAGCCCCAAGCACCCCGAACATGGCGAGCTCTGTGAAAGGGGCCGCTTTCCAAAAGCGGGTTTAGGGTTTAGGGTTTAGGGTTTGGGGTTTAGGGTTTAGGGTTTAGGGTTTAGGGTTTAGGGTGTAGGGTTCACCCTTAAATCAAATAGCCTGAAACCTAGACTCTGGAGACCCAAGCCCGAAGCTGTCGAGGCTGGGGCAGTGGATGGGGCGACGGGGGTTGCTCGCCTGCGCTGGGCCTCTGACAAGTGCAAGATCCACACGGAAGTGTTCAGGGTTTAGGGCTCAGGGTTTAGGATTTAGGTTTTAGGGCTTAGGGCTTAGGGTTCAGGATTTAGGGTTCAGGGTTCAGGATTTAGGTTTCAGGGTTCAGGGTTCAGGGGGAAGCATGGAGCACCGAAATCGTCCACATTTTCGTTGATGATGAGTTCAACAAGGCCAAACCTCCCTTCGCTGGAATAGTCTAAGAGGGGTCTTACCCAGCAGATCTCCCTGAGGCTTCCTAAGAATGACCCAATAGTATAGAGTACTATTTGCGGATTCCCCTAAACCCTAGACCCTAAAACCGCAAACCCGTACTATTTGGGGGGGTTCTCCCTTTGGGATCCTTCCAGGGGTCTGAGGAATAGTTGGGAAGGTCTAAACAGGCCGAGACGTTGACTTGAGAACTAAAATAGGGTGACTTTTTTGGGCCCTTTTGATAAGAGTGCCATTCTGTGTATGTATGTACATATATATTTATTTTATTTTACTATATATTCTACTGTACGTATATATATATACATATATATATATATATGTATTTTATCACCCGCAAAAGGGACGCTGATTTAGAGAACTTCCGACTTGCTAGCGCGTAATAAGGAGTTAGAGACCTTATATCCCATTATTGAACCCCTAAACCCCGTAAAGCCCTGAACCGCCTAAAGTCCTAAACCCTTAAAGTTTAGGGTTTAGGGTTTAGGGTTTAGGGTTTAGGGTTGAGGGTTTAGGGTCTACCACAACCATAAAGGGTTATAGCACAACCAGATGGGGGCTTATTGCAACTGGGCCTTGTTTTGTGCTTGTAACACCATTTGCTTAGTGTCATCTCCTGCTTAGTGTTGTTTCCTGCTTAGTGTTGTTTCCTTTAGTGATTTTAAGCAAGGCGCCAATATCACTACTCCTAGTTATTCTTGTTGTCACTAGAATTACTTTTGATGATGCGTTTTGCTTCCTGACCTGGGGCGGGGTCTGACAACATATTAGAACATTCTAACATAACAATCGTAGGACTCGTTGTAATGAAGTACTAGCAGTCATAAATCTTGCAACGGTAACAAACTTTGCTGGTATCGAACATGACAGATAAGAATGGTTGTCCGTGCAATTCGTGTACTTTTGGCATCATCAAGATTGCTGCTATTATTACTGTGACTGCTACTTATAACACTTTTGTTAGTATTTGATGATCATCATGTACAAGCTAACGCTTGGGGGGCCAGATGGGAGCTATCACCACCAAAGATGCATCGGGATTGCTGTCGGGCACCTTAGGACGCGAAGTGAGTTGTGCAACTCTATCAACTGGTTGTGATAGCGACCGTTCTGGTTTGCCGTAAAATTGGCGGGTGTGCTAGTCCCTAAACCCTAAACCCTAAACCCTAAACCCTAAACCCTAAACCCTAAACCCTAAACCCTAAACCCTAAACCCTAAACCCTAAACCCTAAACCCTGAACCCTGAACCCTGAACCCTAAACCTTAGGAAAGCTTGGAGGGTTTAGGGTTTCGAAAGGAGCATCAGGTCTGCGACCCCTCAAATGGACCCCTCGCTCCCTAAGCCCCTAAGCCCCTAAATCCCGAAACCTTAAACCCCTGAACCCTAAAACCTGATCCCTAAACCCTTTAAGGTCTAAGCCCTATAACCTAATCCCTAAACCCATAAACCCTACAGCCCTAAGCCTCAAGCCCTGCAGCCTAAACCCTAAACCCTAAACCCTAACCCTAAACCCTAAACCCTAAACCCTAAACCCTAAACCCTAAACCCTAAACCCTAAACCCTAAACCCTAAACCCTCAAGCTCCTGATAATTGAAATTGTATAGGCTCTACTCATTCCCTTTCTAGAAAGGGGCTAACAACATCTTGTGGGGTTGGGGTTGAGGGGGGTGGTAGAGGGAGTGGATGGTATGGGGTAGGGGGTTGGGGCCTAGGGGTCGTAGCGGGTTAGGGTTTAGGGTTTAGGGTTTAGGTTTTAGGGTTTAGGGTTTAGGGTTTAGGGTTTAGGGTTTAGGGCTAAACTCTAAACCCGGTTTAGGTGGGTTCCAGTGTTTAGAAGGCTTCAGTTGGTTTAAGGTTCAAAAGAGTTTAGAGACGGCTTCTAAAGGGTTTAGACGGGGTTTAGAAGGAGTTTTCAAGAGGTTTGGAGGCCTCAAAAGAAGTAGGAGGCAAAAACAAAACCCGCCCAAAGCCTGCCCAAAACTTTTTTGGGACCCAAACCCTGTAATTTCAATGGTTGCGAAGGGGTTGAAAACGGGTTTAAACAGGTTGAGAAGGCAAAAGAAGGGTTTGGTACAAGGGTTTAGAAGGCAAAAACGAAACCCGCCCAAAACCCGCCCAAAACTTTCGTTCAAAACTTTTTGGGACCCGAACCCTATACAATTTCAATAAACCCTAAACCCTAAACCCTAAACCCTAAACCCTAAACCCTAAACCCTAAACCCTAAACCCTAAACCCTAAACCCTAAACCCTAAACCCTAAACCCTAAACCCTAAACCCTAAACCCTAAACCCCAAACCCCAAAGCCCAGAACAGCCCAAGGCTTCTTCAAAATGCTCCGCGGTGTCAACTTGGCGTCAATCGAGCTCCTAGGCTTCACGCGGTTTAGGGTTTAGGGTTTGGGGTTTAGGGTTTAGGGTTTAGGGTTTGGGGTTTAGGGTTTAGGGTTTAGGGTTTAGGGTTTAGGGGTTAGGGTTTAGGGTTTAGGTTTTTGCTTGCGGCTGCATGCGATGCGTGTTCAGAGGTTTAGGGTTTAGGGTTTGGGGTTTAGGGTTTAGGGTTTGGGGTTTGGGGTTTGGGGTTTGGGGTTTGGGTTTAAGGATAGGAGAAGGTGTTACCCGCCGCCAGCCTCATGATGGGCCACAGAGAGTGGCAGGTGCCGCCCTAAACCCTAAACCCTAAACCCTAAACCCTGAACCCTAAACCCTAAACCCTAAACCCTAAACCCTAAACCCTAAACCCTAAACCCTAAACCCTAAACCCTAAACCCTAAAACCTAAACCCTAAACCCTAAATTCTAAACCCTAAACCCTAAACCCTAAACCCTAAACCCTAAACCCTCAAGGCCAGGATAAATAGAAATTGTAGGTGTTTCATTACGAGCAGCTCGTACATAATCCTTCATCCTTCACAGTGCAAAAATATTAGCCAAACCCTTCAGCCAGCCCCCCCCTCAGCCCACTTGCTAGCCCCAACGCCCCGCCCCCCTCAGCCCCCCCTAACCCTCCAAGCCCAGCCCCTGCAACCCCCCACCCCTAACCCCCCTCCAGCCTCAAACCCCTCCACCCCTCCAGCCCTTCCAACACCCCCAGCCCCTCCCCAGCGCCCCTCACTCCCCCAGCCCCAGCCCCACAACCCCAAAGTCAAAATGACAAAAGCAAAAAACAAAACCCGGCAAAACCCGGCAAAACCCGGCAAAACTCCGAACACAAACCCTATACAATTTCTATAAACCCTAAACCCTAAACCCTAAACCCTAAACCCTAAACCCTAAACTGCCGAGAGCGCCGCTGTCCATTTACATGGGCGCTCGAGGCTTCGACCGAGGTCCCCGAGCGAGCGTCTCCACAGAACGGTGAGGGAGGGTAAAGCCTCCCGGTAGACAGGGCCTGCAGTGCCTGGCTACGCCACAGACCTCGGGCGTAAGCCCAAATGAGGACCCCAAAACCCGCACCGTTGGCGTCTTTTGGTGACCCCCCGGGCTGGCAGATTCCGGGGACCCCCCTGCCGGGCCGGTCAGGGAGGGCTGCTGCCTCTGAGGAGTTTTTTCTGTTTTTCTGGGACCTACCTGGGATTTCCTGACCCCCCTGAAACCCCCCTGCGACCGGGACCCCCCCCTTCTGGGCCGGTCCAGGGCGGCCCCTGCTCAAAAACCGCTTTTTTTGCCCCTTTTCCTAGCCGTCAAAAAGGCTGACAGGCTCTTACAACCCCTCAACCTTCGCAGTGTTTTGGGAAGGCCGCCTGCAAGGCTGTGGGACCCCCGCACAGACTTGCGGACCTTCTGAAAACCTCCTACCTTGCTGGGACCCCTTAAAACGCATGCGGAACGCTTTTCCTCCCTATCCTGGACCCCGACCCACCGCAGCCTGGCATTGAGGATCTCTGCACCTTTTCGGCCGAGGCCCCTGCTTCCCCCTAGCGTTTTTGCTGGCCTGGGGCGCCCAGACGTGTAATGAATGTTGGGTTCTAGGATTGCAATCGATGGTTTTGGGGCACCCCTCCAATGTACTCCGTGAAAGCTCCAAGAAGCCTACGAGCCACTGACAGGCTCCACAAAGCTCGGGAG